GAAAGAAGGTTTATTGTGGCAATGCAAGACTGGAAAATACAAGGAGATTCGAACCTACACCTGCATCAACTCATGAGCCTATCGCACTAACCGCTAGACCACACCGCACAGTTACTAATGACGCTCCAAACGTATTTCAGTGGGCAGCCGAAGCCCGCACAATCCTTTATAACATCTTTGAAGCGATTAGCAGAAACGGAAATCAGATTCGGAATCAGCGTCCCAAGACGAGTTTCATGGTATATAGCTCATCTCAAAAGGCCACGGACACCGAGTATCGTTTTCTTGTGAGATGAGAGATTCAACCACAAACTTAGCCGGTCATTGTGGCCATTCGAAGTCGTATTAAACTTCAAAACAAGAACCAATAACTGCGATTTTGCTTTGTACACAAAGACAGAGATAGCACATGGAGTGATAGAAAACGATGAAATTTTACAGCTTTCCAATGGTAAAAGTTTGAAAATTCTCAAAAACGACTATTTTTCGCTCTTTTGAAAAAGCTAGAAAAAAAATAAACACTTTTGAACTTTTTGCAGTATCTCGTCGTAGAAAAATACCGTAAATTCGGGTTTTTTTGCCACTGCTCTCTTGACCATTGGCTGCACAATGAACAAAGTTTGCGCTCTCCTCCTACCTTTAAGACTAAGTTATGCTTTCTCAAAATAGAGGTTTTCAAAAAAGATTTTTGGAATTTTTCGGATTGTACAAACTTTCTCGTCACATTTATTTACGAACAAAAGTATGTGTTGTAAAGCCAAAGATTTGCTCTTTGCAACATTCTTATTGCTCTTTGAAAGATGATGTGGGAAAAGAATTACAGCGCTTTGAAGATGAATTTTAAATAACGTGCATTAATTATGAATCAACCTATTATAATAATGAGTTATCACTACCAACAAAAGGCTGATCGCATTATTATTGACATTCAAAACATTTAAAATCCAGTGCAAACATTTTCTACAGGCTCGTTTGTGTTCTTGATAACTTACAAGGGAATGGTCAGAAATCGAAGTGGCCGTTCTAGACAAGCTGCATACCGTTAGATGCAGCATGAAGAGCTGACTCTAAATCTGTCTTCCTTACCTGCTTATCGCTTTTCTGGACGAAGCTATAAGCCATTAGAGACCATTATTTTGTTAAGAATTTATGCGTGAAATTGAAAGTTTAGCCGTACAGAGCCACGTTCGCCTCAATGCTGTGCCAAAACATGCCGCTAGCTTACTTAAAATTTTTGAAGCCAGAAGGTGAGCTAAAAGCGCAACAATGTGCTCAATTTCGGTTTTATGTATGATTTTTTCACAATAAAACCGCTTATAGCTTCGTCTACAGAAGCGGGAAGCAAATAAGGAAGACAGATTCGAAGTCAGCGTTTTATACTGCATCGAATGATATACAGCTTCTCTGGTTTGGCCACTTCGACTTCTGACCATTCCCTTGTTAATTCCATGCTGAAATTAAATGAGATTTTCATACTATGTAAAGTAATAAAGAAACGTTACAAGAAGCTATCTAATTTTAAGAAAGCCCACAAATAAGGCCTAAAAACCAATAAAGATATTCTAACTTCTCAATCTAATTTTTTTCAGCTAAGGAGGAAATCAGCTGTAATTATACCCTCGATACATAAGAGCCATGCACTCTGGTAACCACCACTTTGAGCGCCATGGTAGAGCACAACTTTCACCCTAGAAAAACAAAAGCGATCCGGGGCGAAGCCCCGGATGTTTCAATTCTGACCATACCGGAATGAGCGTGAATGAAGCAGATATAGAGAATAACACCTTTAGATTATCTTAGCGAAACCGAGGATTTGCGTTTTTATGGCCTTTTTCACGCTAAATGGAAGGTTTCTTGAACGTTTTTCCAGTTAGAACAACATTCTTAGTAAACCTCTTATTCGACCAAAATCGAGTATCAAAAGTTTAGGAAAGCTATTGGGGTTAAAAAAAACGAGAAACTGCGCTCAAATCTTGCGCAGAGACTCGCGCAGCAAAATCTGTCTATCTTTTTAATGAAAGATTTTCAACGCTTGGGATATTGTCACTGCTCTTCGTCTTATCATGATGATCAGAATGGTATACAACGTTATAGGTTTTCCTTGAGACGCTGAGAACTACGACCAGAGCCAAATGGCCCGTCGGCTCTAGTATGTCTCCGCTGCTCGTCTGCGTCTCCACGCGCTGCGCGCTACCTCGCTAACCCAAACGCGGGGCGCGGGGCCTTTGGCTCTGGTACCCTTTTCTTCGCTGTTTTGAGCCCAATTTTAGCAAGCTTTGCATCATTTTAAAGCTCTTGTTCTTAATTTTCACGCTGACAACGTTCCAAAACCAAATTTTTTATTTGAACGAGAAATCTGGTAAAAACCTTGTTTTCGGAAATCTCTTGTTTTTCTTCTAGTTTAATTCTCTTCACGCGGTTTTTTCTTGCATTCTATAGATCTTGCTTCTGTTCATAATGCAAACAACGACACAGTCCTTATCTCTTTGAATTAAAAAAAATCGTAAAAAGTGCGTTTTCTTTACCTCGTTTTTTAGTGTTTTCGCAGAGATTTTTTTTCCAGCTTGGACGATTATTGCTCAGAATAGTAAGCGCTACAATTTAGACAACGTCCTAGAAAACGGAAACCACAGTGTGGGGGTAAAAATTGAAAGGACGCACCAAAAACTAGCTCAGATAATCGCCGGGGGCAGGCGATCCGCAAACTCGCGTTTTTCTGCAGGCGGTCAGCAGAATTTTGGGACGTGGCCAAACCTTCAGCGGGCGGCACTTCCTTTACTGTCTAATGTTCTGCCAGCGGGCAGCAACACCGAATTTTCTGCAGGCGCTCGTCAAATAATCTCTTTCAGCGAGCGCTAGTCAAATTTTCAGCTGGCGCTCGGACGGTTTTTGAGCAATGGGTGTACGCCGAGCAACGGTGAGACTCTACATGGCAGAGGTGTCATCGATGGTTTAATTACTCATGTTTGAGGTACTTTCTCCCAGCGGAAAGTACCTGGGGGTTGCGCGGTCCTCCACAAAGGACCGTGCGGCCCCCGAAATTTTTGCATATTCTCGCGGACTTTCCGCGAGAATATGCAAAATTTTCGGGGGCCGCACGGTCCTTTATGGAGCCCCCAGGTACTTTCCGCTGAGAGAAAGTACCTCAAACTTGAGTAATTAAACCATCGGTGACTCCTCTGCCATATAGAGTCTCACCTTTGCTCGGCGTACACCCGAAACTGCTCAAAAACCGTCCGACCGCCAGCTGAAAATTTGACCAGCGCTTGCTGAAAGAGGTTATTTGACGAGCGCCTGCAGAAAATTCTGTGTTGCTGCCCGCTGGCAGAACATTAGACATTAAAGGAAGTGCCGCCCGCTGAAGGTTTGGCCACGACCAAAAATTCTGCTGAGCGCCTGCAGAAAAAGCGAGTTTGCGGACCGCCTGCCCCCGGCGATTGTCTAAGTGCCAACGGCCCTTTCAACAGCTCCCTTAAAAACGATATCTTTTTGATTTCCCTCAAAAACTAACTCAAAATCAGTTCTAACTATGCTGGACTCTGGTTCCAGGTCATTGTTTCGTTGTTGTACCACTTTGCACACAATCGTATTCATCTTAGACCTTAGCTTGTCCGCACTCGAAAAGAAATGTCATCACCTAGAGTAAGCATCTCCCAACTTAGAATCCGCAATATTTAGTATACTTTTTTCTTTCCCTTCAATATAGCCTGCACCGGATCGCTGCGCTTCTGCTTCTATCTCTATCCATCGAAATGTTCAAAAGTAGTAGCAACTTGCAGCAGCAGCCTTGCTTGGAAAGACTTAGCAGCATTGTACTGGAGCCGCTTTGTTATAGTGCCATAAATTCACGTTTGATCTGCGCAGTCTACTGGTATAAGACAATGTTATGGTCTCCTTAAAGTAACTCATTGCTAATACCAAGTCGGCCGTAAACCTAGCAAACCTCAAAACACGTTTCCCTTCGTCCTCATGAGTTTCGTGACCGATTTTCGCTTTCAATTCTCTGCTGTCCTACGTGTTCGTCGCAGTTAAATTTGCGCGGCGTACGAGGCGTACGCAGCGTACGGATCGTGTCCTTAGACATATGCGTATGCCGCATACATTTTGGCTTAAACATTAATCTGCTTCGAATACAAGCGTTTCTTCTGAGCATGAGTTGAAGTTGAAATTGGAGTACGTTTATCCTGCATACTCGTATGCACCTATAGCCATCTCTCAAAGTGGGTAAGTTTACTTGGTGGTAGAAATCTATTTGAGCTACCCACTTGTACAAGAATAGGGATAGTTAGGGCCGGGCGAAGCCTGGTATGCCAGCTACTCAGATAATCGTTGGGGAAGACGGTCCGCAAACTCGCCCTTTTCTGCAGCGGTCAGCATTTTGGGGCGTAACCAAATCTTCAACGGGCGGCACTTTCTTTACGGTCGCATATTCTGCCTATTCAGCAATACAGCATTTTTTGCAAGCGCTCGGCAAATTATTTCTTTCAGCGAGCGCTGGCGAAACTTTAGCAAGCGCTCGGATTCTTTTTACGCTGTTCGTGCGTACGCCGAGCAAAGGTGAGATTCTATGTGGCAGAGGTGTCATCAATGGTGTGATTACCCAGGTTTGGGGTACCTTCTTTCAGCGGAAGGTACCTACGGGCTCTGCGGTCCCTCACAAAGAACCGTGCGGCTCCCAATAATCTTGCATATCCTCGCGGAAAGTGCGCGAGAATGCTGCCACTGGACCGCAACTTATCCATAGAAAGGCGGCAATAGTATCCCGAGCACTCGTCTAAGAATTGGCCAGACAAGTTCTGCAAGCGGGCCGCAAAAAATCAGTGAACTAATTCTCCGGTGCCCGCTTGCTCAAAATTCGCATGGCCGCCTGCCTCCGGCGATTATCTGAGTAGTTGTATACTATGGAGTTGCTTGACAGAATCGATTGATGTATACTAGTTTATTGATATTAGCTACATACTAGCTCATTAGTATAAATCTAGCTTACTTCTTCACTTAAGATCATCACGCAGCAAGTTGAGGACGTCCAAATAAGAGCGACAAATAGAAGACAGATTCGCCTGGAAATTCCTAAATCTCAACAAGAAAGGTTCATGCTTGCGACAACAGCAGCCTTGAAAGCTAAGTCAATGTTCAGACTTATTGGACTTTTTGAATTGCTTGAAAGCAAAGAAAAGGAATTACAAATAGACGGTTTTGGTTTGTCTACAAATGCTTTTGAAGAAGCTTTTCTCAGGTACATATAGCGGAATAATTGTGCTTTATAAGTACTGTGTGTTTTAGAATAGGCGAGAAGAAAGACTACACTCAACAGGAGAGTCAAGAGATTCTGGAATATCTGCGCTGTGCAAAACTGCAAGAAGGTTAGTATATGTAATAGTGCTTCATTAAAGCTCAAACAATGCTTTGCAGATACTTTCTATCGACTACTACAACGAGCTCAGTATATTTGGTTGAAGAAATGCTGGGAAAATATCTATAATATACCTCTAACAATCGATCAAGTACAGTCGTCGTTTGTTAACCTAACGCAACAAATAACGCAAACTCAAATTGCTCGTAGTGGGAATACTGATTAGCATGTTGAACGTTTATTACCTCTATTAAGTATCTCTATCTATTACCCTAATTTCACGCGCATAAGGCGCGAGGGATTTCTTTCAAAATCGACCAGTCTAGACACGCCAAAGGACTTTCAAATGACCCTATAACGTGCTGTATATTTGAGAGAATCGTGCGATGTAAGAATTTCTTTCCGAGATGCAGTGAACCGGCTAAGCGGCTTGCTTGAAAATTTGAAAAAGTGCGCCTTATACGCGTGAAATTGAGGTAAGTATCTTTACCCCTAATAGCATCATCTTCCCAGATTTGCATGAACTGAATATATCTTGAGAATTTACGAACCCCAGCATTTCGAACTGATGAAAGATTAGGGCGTAATTGCATTGCCCACTTTATATATGACAGCCGGCATAGCTGCATACTTGCACACATGCAGCTGTACAAAAAAATGCTACAGTGCAAAAACCTCTCACGCTTAGACATAAAAAATGGCCTGTCATAGACTTGCTAAAGGCATTTTTGAAAAGTTTACAATTTGGTCAAGATCACTGAATTAGAACAGTAGATATCCAGATTTTACGGAAATACGTAAATGTTTTCGAAGCTATGAGCGCACTGCTGCAAACTTTTTTTTAGAATTCCTTGCCTATGGTTGTTACAAAAAAATAACGGCCAAAATGCTTTGAGCACTACATGGTACATCAAAATCATTTGCGTCAAAATTCCTCGGTTCCAAAAGTATACCACGGAATGCTGCAATCATCTTCCACAAGACTTTTTTTTACCAGCACAAGGGGGCTGCCATAGAATTTGCAAAAATGGATTTGTCGAAGCAGTAATTTCAGAAAGTGCAAAAACTCTTTTTTTTGGTGTTTGCATTTCATTCCGTAGCTAGAATTCTTGTGATATTTTGGAGCCTTTCTATGTCTACGTTGTAAAGCGGGCTTTGAGCTTAAAATCGTCTAATTGCGTTTGACAAGATATACTTCTTCGAAAATGGCCACAAAAATTTGTGATTGCCACCTTAGGGTCATGGCCGTTTTGTCTTTGAATTACATTGGTAAGCTGTGAAAACATAGCTGTCGCTGACTTCAAACCTATTCTGCATCTACAGAGCTTCAAATACACTTCCATTATATTTGATTGGTTTGATTGGTGAAGTTAGTTTCAAAAGTGATTTGAAGTCAGTTTCTTTTCTTCTCTCATATTTACTTATAGTTTGTGCAGTTTAAAGCGCGAGCAAATGTTTTTGATTGAACGTTGACAATCTTTCTGCTGAACATTCCCAGGTTTTGCGCTTATAGTATACCAGTGCGTCACCTCCGCTTCGCGGAGGTTCGCACTGGCTCTGTTGTCCGTATGCCTGATTCATGCTCCCAAAATAATGACTTTGAAACTCACCGCGCGAGTCTGTACATCACAAATGAATCGTAAACAACTGTTCATTCTTGAAGCATCTCCGTGTATCGGTAATTTTGAGAAGGAAAACTTTTTTGCCAAGGAATAAATACGAGAACAGATTATTGAATTTATTTTGGCTTGATAATTGTTATAAAAATAGTAGCCATTTTGGGCTACATTTCCATGCAGAAATCTTTTCAGATATCTCTACGCGATCACTACTTTTTGGCACTGTTTTCGCGGAAGCAAACTTTTTGAGCACTTTTTGAGCTAGAATTCTTGAAGCGCAGATTTGCTTGTCAGGCAAATCAAAATTTTGCAAAAAGTTGAATTTGTGATCTAGTTTTGCGCGCCAAAAGCCAAGTGGACCCGTTTGAGGCGCAATTTTTGGAGGACCCGCTTATCAAACCAACTCGTCCTTGTGCATGGTGGGCCTACACGCTGGTACGGTATGCTATGCGAAATTGTAGCTCGATAGCTTGGTTGCAGCTGCCTCTATGAATTTCGTGACAGACAGACAAACACACAGACACACACACACACACACAAAGGCAGACGTTTAGCGCTTTATTATAAGTCATGATTGTGGCCAAAACGCTCTATTCATGTAGCACGTTCTTCTGCATAGAATTTGAAAAATGCTTGCTGTGCAAAACTTGGTTGGCAAGTAATTCTGCGTTTCTGGAATCAGATTTGAAAATTCCGGATCATACTACGGTGCTGGCTAAAAGTTTGCAGTCGATTTGAAATTTTGCCTGTCTTACACTGTTTTGCATAGAACGGATCCAATTCGATATGACAGTTTTCTCAAAGACTCTAGCAGGAAGTGGCTGCAAATTTTGACCAGTCTCGATTTTGCCGTTTTCGCCATTTTCTCAAAACCCCCTTCGTGTGCACGAAACTGCAAAAATTTTCTGACATAGTGTTAAGCAGTGATTGCATCAATATTACAACTTAATTTCAGTTTTTGGTAATTATGATATAGCGAAATACCAAAGTGGCTGCAAACTTTTGGCTAGCACTGATAGTCTCTCGATGATAAGGCATTATTGGAACATAATAGTTATTTATGTTCCTTCAAATTATTCCGGCACGAGTTGGAAAACACACGCAAATAATTCTGGCGCACCCTGTACAGATGTCCATTTTCCTTTCACTAATTAGGAGTAGAACAAAGATGCAAAGACGATGTGATTCCAAAATGCTCAAAAAACTCAACATTTCTGAATGCAGTGTATATGTAACTAGCTGGCATACCCGGCTCCACCCGGCCTTGATATGACACTCTAACAGATGTCCCACCCCTATCACTGTACAACCTTCCCCTGCCTCCACTCTACTTGCCAATCCCCTATCCCCGGTTTGTTTTCGAAATCAGCACGCCACTTATTCTCCTGTGCCAACTCCCGCCCCTAGCTCAAACTTTGCAAAAATCGATTAAATCGACAAAGGTAATTGATAATTTCAAAGACTAATATTGTATTTGTGATCAGCATGCTCACCTACCTCCCCCCTATGCCAACTCCCAGCCTCGTAGCTTAGGCATCTTCCGACCAGATATGAAAAATTAGAGTACAGATTCGTTTGTCGCGGATTGCGCGACTTCTTCAAGGAGTCCGCTTCTCCCAAGAAGTCCCAAAACGCCAGTCCTTGCGCGCTGTTTCGCCCTCTCGCTCGCTATTTATGCCGCAACTTACCTTCAATAAGTCACGTACGCCACATGTGTCTACTCGCGAGCAGTCGGCTTCAACTCATTCCAACTATCGATCAATCCAGCTGCGTCACTTTCCCAACTCACGCGAAGAACAACACCACGCGGAGGACTGGTCCGTCTCTTTGAGGTGACCCGCTTGGTGCTTCTTGCTTGCCGCATGGCAGACATGTCGTGTCTAGGCCTTTGGAACTGTTTTCCTACAAAATCTTTGCGTATACGCATTTTTTGAGACTAATGTATTCGTTCTTCGAGTGAACATTTAGAAGCTCAACGCACAGATATGCATGTTGAGAATGGAAAACTTGCGGTTCTTTTCGTAGTATGTAAGTCAGAATGCCTATGACCGCCGCCCAACGTGGTGTGGGAGTGACACTGAGCGTAGGAGTGTAATGTATAAACGAGTTTATACTCTGGCGAGGCCTTTTAAGCAATAGCCCTGTGGGAAGGCAATAGCACAGCTTGATAAGTCTGCTACCCGTACTGCAAGAAGGAAAGAAAAAAAACCCTGCTTATTGGATCTTGTCTATGCCGCCAGGTGGCAGCGATGTCAGGGTGCTCAGGGCGCCATCTGAAGCAGAGCAAACGACAAGTCTGCGAAGACACGTCGGGGAGATTGTCTCTTGCTTTGCACCTGCAACGCCAGCGCAATCTCTACAAGCGCCGGCCCCACGTTCTTCTGGGTGCTGCAACCATTGAATACCATGTTATCATCACGCTACTGAAAACGAAGAGCAGGAAGGAGAGCGTGCCATAGATATCTGTGGAACCCTCATCATTCGTGAGAAAATTGAAAGTCGAAGGTGAGAAAGGTCTATTACAATTTTGAAACGTTGCAATTGTCGTTCAGCCATCTATCGCACATCTTGTCGATTCGTGTAAGGTTTTATCACCCTGACTGGTTATCTTACGTCTACCCCACCACGTCTGAAGATCATCAGCATTATTTAACTACTTCCTACTATTAGCAACTGATAAATCAGAACTGGATGCTTTCTTAAAAGACTCAAAAATTGTCTTTCTTCTACAAATTTGTTGTGGACGATTTTTTGCAAAAATCGGGATGCCTTTAGAAGAGGAATAGATTGAAAAGTTGAAATTTGGGCTCCGGAACAGAGACGAAAGGTCTGCTGGGCTTCTTTCGACCGCACGGCTTTTCCCAGGATTGATATCCACGAAAGTCCATAATGGAGGAAAATGAACTTTTACACCCCATTTTATTCGTTCGCGGTAAAAACTGGCCGGAATCTGCTTTTGCTAGCGTTATCCAAAAGTTTTTATCTCACCGCAATCACGAGGCAAAGCGATGTGATGGACAGGATTAAACCCTACTTGAGCTCTCGCTTGCGAAGGAATCCTGCGAAAAGTCCATTTACAATAGGGCAAAGTAGGATTTATTTGTTTTGAATATTTTAAATAGACTTGAACGCTATTTTACTTCCAGCAGCAAGGTGAGCTGGGACTAAGCCCATTTTTGACCTTTTTGCATATTTTTGTTGGCGCTTTTTGAGAATGTGTTCCTTAGCCCATTCTAAGGTAGCGAGTGAGCGATAAAAGTTTCATGTTTTTTATGAAATCTGAAATAAGTGTTTCTTTCTAAGCTCATACAAACGCTATAAAAATCATGGAAGAAAATTAAATTCACCAAAATATTCGCTAACAAGCTCACATGCCTCCAAATATCAGATCGATTCGAAAATTTCTATGTAAATTAATTAAAGCTTGTGAACTCTTCAAATCATCAACCAAAACTAAATTCATAATTTGTATTTAAAATTTAAAATAAATATGCGCTTCAATATAATTACTCAGAAGCTATCTCTTGACTAATCTCGCAGAACCGAACCTCAAAGACGGCATTTCAAGCGCGATTTTGAGTTTGGTCGCAAGAATTACTGAAATGACGATAGCTAGCAAGAAAAATTCTGTGAAAAATTTCCCACTAACAATAGTCAATACATTCAATTACTTAGAGATAAAAGTAGTTCTGAGAGACGAAGAAGACTTGATTAAAAAATTTGCAAAGTCACCTCTTGAATCGTGGTTTTTTCGACTTAAAGGCAGTGTCCAGACAAGTCTGCATACATGGGGTTCTCTCTGGATAGTGATTTTGGAGCCATAACTAAGCCACTGCCAACCCGGCAGCTCAGGTACTGCTCTAACGGCTGAGATATTGCTTTCGAAACTAGACCCCGCGATGGTATTCCGCATGGATTCATGGCGCAAAGCATGGATTCTGGCGCGAAACTGCCATCAGTCCATGCGAAATACAATCCGGGGTCCAGTTTCGAGGGCAATATCTCAGCCGTTAAAGCACTATCTGCGCTGCCGCTTGGTCAGTGCCTTAGTTAGGGCCCCAAAAGTACTGTTCACCCAAAATCCCTATAGGTTCAGATTTGCTTGGGCACTGCCATTAAAAACCCTTTGGGTTGTAGTGGTTCTAGTGTAGTACAAGCTTTCCTATAAGATAAGCATTCTGATTCACAAATTGCAGTGCAAGTCTAACCAAAGTTTGCTTCCCGCAGAGAGCTCTACATACGAATTTTAATGCAAATTTGTAGAGGTTTTGAGAAGCGAAGGCCCGAATATTACATGAATTTTATTCTTGGAGGCGATAGATGCATAGTCATCGATAATAAACGGTTTTTTTGTGAGGTGTAACGAAGTGGGAAAGAATAAAAAATCACGTGACTGACATTGTAATATTAGGACAGCTTAGTCAGATATCGACCACTTGGTGGAAATGAGTTTGCAAGAGTGAGCAAATAGGTTGAGACAATTTAAAGAAAGGTTTGCTGAAGAAGTTTTGTATGAAATAAATGGATTCGCGAATGCGATATCTTATCTCACCGCATGGATTAAGCCCATTCTATTCACACGAAAAGCCCATTCCGCGAGAACTTTCGTGGATATCATTCCAAGGAAGCTCTATCTAGGAAGGAAATACGAGTAAAGAATCGTCGGTGGGCTTGGGAATCTTCCAACGCAACGACTACTCGAAGATCGACCACTTCTCACCAACATAAAGTGAAGCTTGCTCAAGTTTTAGTGGTTCCACCCTTCTGCAGTGACTTCGATCATCGTCTCCTTCATGCAAAGCGATTCAATCGGAAGCTGCAAAAGAAGGTTTGCCACAGTGCCACAAGTGGGAGAGAAGTTATAACGGTCACGGATGGAGAAGCTCAAATCAAATTGTAACTGACCATCAAAAAGGGGCCAATGTACGATTACGACCGGCTTTTCAAAGGTAGCATCTAGACGGTTCTAGATATATGGGAATCTTATGTGGAAAGTAATTTTGGGACCCTTGAAACACTGCCCAAGCGGCCTCATATGGTTTACCCATTGCTGAGATATTCGACCCCAAACTGGACCCCAAGATCGTATTTCGCATAGATTCATGGCCCGACACATCGCGCGACACCTTCGCGCGAAACTGATGTGTCGCGGCTATGAATCCATCGGAATAAATTGGGGTCCAGTTTGGGGTCGAATATCTCAGCAGTAGGTACACCGTATGAGCTGCAGCTTGGGTAGTGTCTCAACTAGGGTCCCAAAATTACTTTCCAGTGAGATCTTTATATGTCCAAAACTGCCTGGACGTTGTTATGAGGGATTTTCAGCCTGCAGAGAATGCGCCTCAATGACATTTGAAAAGAACAACGAATCTTGTTGAACACCAAGAAGTTGATCAAAGAAAAAGAGGCCTGGGGCAAAATCCGAATGCAACTCACCTCGAGCAGCTGATCAATCAAAACAGCTTTGCAGGAGCGTATTTTGAAGTACAGTCAGAAAGATATTGAAACGGTCGAAGGAAGACGAAGTCATAATGCAAAAAGGACCTTTGCGAATATCACGGCTGCAGAACTGGTAAAAATCGACGGGACTCTGACTTCTCATCCGACAGAAGATAGAATTCAACGCGAAGAACTTTTAGATCGACCCCTTCCGCTCATCAGCACCCGTGCTGAGGCCCGTTGTTCCTGCTGAAGAAGCGTCACCACAAATTCTATTTGTTGAGCGCAGAGACGTTGACGGCTCCAAGACCAGATAACCCTTCTGTCAAACCGGGGCCGGACACCTCTACGCGAGATGCATTGCAAATAACATCGTTCCTTAACCTCGCAGTTTTTTCGATAATTTCGCCTGCCTCTCGTTCTTATCTTCGACTACGAGAAGATCTTTGAAAGCGTCGCCCATGTAAAAAGAGTACAATGACAATGCCGCATTCCATCGCTTCTGGCCATGCCAATTGATCCCGACAAGGCGACATTATTTTGCCGAAGCTGCTCGTCGCGGCCTCGAAGTGGGTGACAAAGTCACGGGACTGGGACGAAAGGGTTGGCATACGGGTTGTTGGAAAATTGTTTTTTAAGCTTCGTTTTGAGTACGACATCGTTCTTTTTTCGAAGAGTAGCACTAAGGCAGAGATGATGCTGAAGGAACTGAATGAAGCAGGGAAGAAAATAGATCGTATTGCGAATTATCTAAAAAAGGTTGAATACGTCGCGAAAGCGACGCATGGATTGGCGTTGACATTATGAGAAGAACAGACAATAGATGGACATTAAGAACATCTGAGTGGATTCCTAGCGAAGCAAAACGATGCCGAGGAAGAAATTTAACGAGATGGGCAGGCGTATTTGTAAAACGGATAGACCAGCTAGAAATCAGCTGGTATTTTTTCACACCTGCACCCGAGGACGCAGCTACCTATGGGAAACAATAGAAACCTCCGTGCTGAAGTCAGCAATTCACGTGAGAGCCATCTAGGTATTACAAGAGAGTTGAGACAGTGATTGAGTGATTGATCGCTGTTGATAATTCCTCTCAGATCGTGACTTGAGGATGCGCGAACGAGGAAGAACAGACGCACGCAGCCACGAAAATTGGTTGCTTTCTACAAACGCGCTCGATGCATTCCCCTTGATGATCTTGACAAGCACCAACTGTCTCTTCTTTCATCAGTGCAGCTTTATCACAACTTGCTCCAACTGTCATTTACTTCGTATAAAGCTAATGTAACAGTATTTCTAAGAAACTGGCCTCACACAGCATCGCTTCCAAAACGCTAAGTGCATTAAGGTAGACAAATAATTCAGAAAGCAAAGAATAACGTTGAAGAATGCATGAAAATCTTAATAGTTCGCTTAAGCTTAGGTTAAAGAAATTAAATCAAATTTTGAAGTCATTTTTATTTTTTTTTACCGCGAATGTTTTTTGAAAGAAAGTAACAAAATCGCATTAGCGATTTTGTATGATTATTCATATCTATATATTTTTAGTGATTTATTAGAACGTGCGTATTACAAGCACAACGTTTATTTTAAAAAAATGATAAAGAGATCTGCAAGAGGGGAGTGAAGTTTAGCAAAATAGAATCTGCTTAACTTTATGCGTCCGTTACCCCAACGACCTTCAAGCGTTGCGGCAATTTGGTCAGATGTTTGCAGGTTGAAATGAATCCTATGTAGCTCAGACTGATCATATAGTGACCATACCATAGATACTTGATATCTGGACTGTCCTTACCCTTACTCAAAAGTTGTATTTAGATTTTGATGCCTCTCTCACTGGTATTCTTGGCAGTTTATATGAATAGGAGTGGGTCAACAAAACCCTATTCTGATAGAGTTTCAACGAGTTAGCATACTTATAAGGAAAGCTACCTAACTTGGCTCGGCCTTTAACAAGGAACATATATGCTCTGAAACAGCTTTAAACGCTGATTTCAAATATGCTATTCCTAGCTGTCATGCACCATTCCAAAGCGAGTTATGGGTTTTTTCCTACGCAAAATTGGCATACTACTGAACATGAGAAGACTGCCTCTAGATGAAAATTCGCAAGAAAAAAGTGCTGAGGTATCGAAATAGTACAAATTCAATCTTTTCTCACAAAAAAACAAAGCTTTCAGGTGTATCAGCACTTAAATGATGACGACGTGATGCCCGTGAGTCGAAGAGCATGTCCTTTTTGCGCAGAAAAAAGCCCATAACTTGCTTCGAAATGATATGTACGTGGCAGCTAGGAATAGCATATTTGGAATCAGCGTTTGAAGCTAATTTATACTGTATATGCTCCTTGCCAAAAGGCAAATTTAGATAGCTTCCCTTGTTAGAACCAAAACGTAAAACTTTGAGATTACTATACTTGCAGCTCCGGACATGCCACTTAGAACACTCAAGCGTGGTCGTTTCTTGATATTCGATCCCAGTAACAATACAGCAGAACAAGATTTTCTGGAAAAATCAATCAAGGAAAAATACCCGCTTCTGCAGGTTCGTAGTTGTTGCAGACCTCTTCCATATCGTCTGTTGTTATGCACTTTACACACGTTCAACTATAACTGGCTGAATTGAAAATGCGACCATTCAATAAATCTTGACATGATAGTACTTTGTTCTTTCTTCTGGGCCATACACAAGCGGCTAACGGTTCGGCAAATCGCCTTCGTCAGAGCCCGTAAGGAACGAAACGATCTGCGCCGATTCCAACAAGTATCTTACAGCTAAACAGACGAAATGCTAAACCTTGTTTTCAATCACCAATTCAGCTGCTCGCACAAGCACGTACCCTCTGGATTACGCCGATAGTTCCCTGTTAAAGTGGAAGTTGGAGGTTTACGTTGTCCGCTGCCAGAGGAAGCTGAACTTGTTGGACTGCATGCAAACCGTCATTTTGTTGGTAGATACTCAGACAGTCGACGGCATACCTCCGGAGCAGAAATGGCAGAGCCGCGGGCTTTCCCTAGCGGAGGATTGCCACGCGCTCCGGGGCCCTGCCATTTCACGCATTTTTGTGCTCCGGGGCTCTCTTAAAAGTGGCGCATTTCCGGAGCAGAGATTTGCGCGTCGCGGAGAGGGGTCCCATTCGTCCTGTTTGTAATGTCAACGTGACGTCACGGTGAATGAATGAAACCCCTCTCCGCGACGCGCAAATCTCTGCTTCGGAGGTGCGCCACTTTTGGGAGAGCCTCAGAGCACAAAAATGCGTGAAATGGCAGGAGCGCGAAGTGGCAGACTCGCGCCATATGCCCGCCGGAGGTATCCCTTCGACTGTCTGAGTAAGAATAACCCAATAGATAGGGTGAGATGGCACACTTATCTGAATGGCTGAGATCGCTTTGTCTCTCACGTTGACAAAGTTGATCTGCCGAGCCATAAAGTGAATAAATCAGTTACCAGTCTCGTGTAGGGCTCGAAAAGAAACAACGAAGTATAATTATAATTAGATAATTATATAATTATGTTTACACTTTGATATATAATTATACTATTTTATATATCAAAAAACACAACCAAGGTCAAGCAAAAGGTGTGGCACACAGCCACCGAATATGACTTCCGTCCCCTAACTTCTGTCTTCCCCCCCCCCTCCCCAGCATTATTTGCATACTCTAGGCATGCCATAGAGGCTCTGCTAGGCAGGACAAGGTGTTGATGCGAGTTTACGACTCCCCTTCCCTCTCCATGTCCACGCTTTTGCGGTAACCTGCTTAACGAACGTCCGATCATCTCAAAGGATGCAAAAAGACCGAACCAGAAATTATGCCCTAGAAAAAAGGTCTCCCCTACAAAATGGGAGATGAATTAAGTGAATTGCTCAAAAATCTCCCAAAAGGCATCATCTGAGGAAGAAATCAGTTACGGTCTAACACCAACATCCAAACTGTAACCTGCCTAAATGTTGAGTTGTAAACTACCGGTGCGTCACTTCTGTTTTGCAGAGGCTCGCATTGGTTTCCCTTTTTTAAGGCCTTACTCATTCCCGCACAACAATGACGTCAAAACTCAGCACTATGCGGACTATCACGAATGATTTGTGAACCATTATCAATTGCAAAAGCTTTTTTATATGAGATCGGTAAATTTGCGTGAATGGAACTTTTCGCAAAAGAACAAATGCAAATTTGAATCGGTCTTCAGAATTTTCACGGTTTTGTATCCGCCATAAGATGCTATAATTACCGTGGGCTACACCTCTGTGTAAAAATCTCCTCAAATACTTGTGTAAAATCTGTAAAAATCTTTTCAAATGATTGTGTAAAATCTTGGCAAGCAGCTGAGGATTTACGCAATTAATTTTTTAAGCCTCTTTTTTGCAAAGTAATAAACTTTAGTTCAAGTTTTTAGGCTAAAATCCATGGCTTGAACATTGACTTGACAAACATATCTCTGAATTTGCAAAAAGTTGTATTATAGGCTCATCGGAATGTATTATAGGCTCAATCGGATCCACTCGGCTTTTACTGGCCAAAAGCCGAGTGGATCCGATTGACGCTCATTTTTTGAAAGATCCACACAACGAATCCGCTCGTGCTTTTGTGTAGTGGACTCCCATGTTGGTAGCATGCGCTGCGCAAAATTTGGGCTCAGGAGGTTGGCTGGAACAAGTTCTGCGAATTTCGTCTCACACACACACACATACACACACACACACACACACACACACACACACACACACAAACACACACACACATACACAACACACACACACACACAAACACACACACATACACACAAACACACATACACACATACACACACAGAGACGTAAGCAACTTTTAGGTTGCTATTAGAAGTTAATATGTGACTTCCGCGGGAATTGCGAATCTACAACGCCTTAACATTCTAACAATGTGACACTTGAGCACTTCGAATTTTAGTTATGAGAAGAAAGGTTTGTGCTTTTATTTGAATGTGCAGAAGAAACACTTCAATCACTGTCTCTTGGGCATTTCACGCGATTTTAGTCATCAACGACTTAGCCTTGCTTATGACTCGTCGCGAAAGCGTTCCGATTGTACAAAATATGGCACATGCTATGCATCTAGTGCGTCAGAGTTGCATTCGAAGGCAGTGTTTGAGCAAAAGTCGATTTTGAGATTTTATGCTCTGGGCCTATTCGCTATGCTGAATCCGAAGATCCACACCCAGAGAGCGCAAAAACGGCGAAAAAGAGCTTTAAGGGTGATGGAAATCATCAGGTGGACGGGTCTTTCCCACTGTGGATTCACGCTGCCAGCTTTCAGAGCGATCTTGCCGTTTGCGATTGCAAGTCACGCATTCGCTTTTGACCGGTGGCGATATCAGGAAAACTAGCGGTATTGAGAAGACCATTCCGGAGGCTGGGAGCTTGAATTCACTATGAGAAAGACCCCGCCTCTGCTAATTTCCCTCTTGCGCAGGAGCCTTTTTCCGCCGTTTTTGCGCTTCTCAGTTTGGATCCTCGGATTCAGCATATCGAATAGGCCCAAGTAACACAAAATTACAAAATTAACTTCTTGCCAGGACACCGCCTTCAAATACATCTCATAAACTGCCGTATCGCGCGGCTACGGGATTGCGTGAAGTATGTCCGGGTTTGGGACCTCAAATAGCACAGTAGCAAAAATTGATCACATCTGAGAGCAATTACTATTGTGAATTTTTAGGAGTGGTGAAAGCGGTTGGTTGAGCAAGAAGTGTGACATCTTCTGCTAAATAATACGATCCTCCCTTGAGTTGGTCTAAGATTCATAAATTACCGTTTATCTACCTTAAGCATGAGTAGACCCTATCATGCATAATGAATATCATTTTCGTAAGCAGTTTTATGACCGCTGTGGACTAAGTTTTAGCAATGTCAAAGATTTTAAATACTGCGCTATCTAGCAGGAATCGTCATTTTACACATGATTGACTTTATTTCGAAGATGAGTTTGCTATCTCTTTTTGCACTCAATACAAAGCCAATGTACTACTCCTGTTAGTATAAGCTAAAATTTACACTTTAAATAATCTTTGAACAATGAAGTTCGCTTCCAGTGGATTTACTTTCAGCAACTATTACTCAGAATTAAGAAGACGAGTCATACACAAATCAATCGTGTGTTATTCAAAAAATGTTTTGAAGCTAGGTTAATGGTGTGTGACACAATAACCTACACCTTTCCTGGAGTTGTGAGTGGCTACAAGGATAGCCTAGGAAAAGATACTTTGCGGTGGTACCGCTTTCAAGTCACTGGAACAATCAAGAGAAGCAACCGTTTATTGGTGCGATCAAGACAACAACAAGAAATGAGCAATGAAAAAGAAAGAGCTCAACGCGAACACTAACAAAAACTAAACAACGACTGACTGCATCACTGCCTTAGCAGGCGGAGACAACTGATGATCAAAAAATTTTGACGCGTTTTCGCAACACCATTCATCTTCGATAAGTGAATGCAAAAACCGTTATCATAGCTACCGCGCATAAACAATGAGATGCAAAAAAGATCTAAATTGAGTAACAAGAGAACGACAAAGTAACAAGAAAAGACAAAAACGCAACATAACATTGCCTAAAGGCGTAACTAAAAACTCAATGAAGCGGATCTCTAGTCTAGTTAAGAAAGTCAGAGCTACCGTAAACCAAAAAAATGACAAGAGCGGTTACGTCTGTCCCCTCCCCCCTACATGTCGTCCCTGACACTTAATAAGGTCTAAATTGCTAACCGAAATATCTAGCTCGTCCTCGTACGGGCGCATTTCCTGGACGTCGATAAGGGCGACCACGTCTATGTGGCTCCGGTCTATGTCCTGTTTCTCCGTGTGGTCCGCCAACTTCGACCTTGCGAGTGATATTCGAAACGGTGTCGTGGCAAGGAAACTTGAGTGATATTCGAATTCATTATATGAGTGACTGCTATGGTAATGACGTTCCGTTAAATGGTGTCGACTTCCCTTCTGTTTGGGTACTTCCGTAACTTCTAAGGGTATGTCCCTTTCACATAGTCCCCTTTCACACAGTGTATCAAGAAGTCCCAGATCACTGCGTGCGGATATCCACTTTCTTCGTCTTTCCTCGCTCTTATGCTCACTGCCAGTGCCGGCTCGGTTACCGATGGGATTTGTGGTATCTTTGTTACAACGTTGGCTCTAGTCGCGTATGCGGCTTCCCTTACTGTGTTCATCATGTCCATTACCTTCAGCTGTAGATTCCCGATCAGGTTCCTCGTCGTGGTGCTACGGCGACGATTTTGGAGCCGGCCCGTGCTACGCTTGTAAAACTTAGACTCAATCTCATCCACTCTCCTTCAGGTGGCGTTTCATGTGATGTGAGTCCGAAGAAGACTATATTGTACGGTTCTTGTAATTCTCGGAGCTTCTTGCATATACAGTGACCGCCAAAAAGTTGCGGACAAACCCCTCTCCCTTTTTCACCGCTCCTTTTAAGAGGGAAAACAAAGATGAAAAAATGTAATAATTGCGTGAGGTGATAGAGCTCTTCAAGGTCTACAATCCACACTTTGAGT